TTCCCGTTGGGTGGGTGTTTGCCCGTGTAGAAAGTCTGTCTCTTGGCCGAGTTTGATCCCCCCTCACCACGAGAGTAAGACTAAAAGCGTCTCCTTTGTCCTAGTGTCATCTCATCATAAAACTAACCTATTCGCCATAACATCATTGGGTTTTGCTTACGTAATGGTTTTATAGCCTTGTAACCCCTGCAGACCTCGTGTTTCCTTCCTTGAGTACTTATGGTCTCCTCCCCAAGAGGAAATGCACAAAGTTCGTGTCAGAAGAAGCGGTGGTTGAGAAGTAAATGCAAAGAGATGAAACAAGTTCTGTGATGAGACGGAGGTTGGGCTAACATCCAGATCCCCTTGGTCTGGGACACGGCCCTGGCCACATCGCTGGTCTTTGTGTCGTCGGTGTTAAGACTGTTTGCCTTTTTGAACCACTGATCTAGAGTTTTTTTATCATTTTTATGTTATAAGTTATTTTAACATGAGAGCTCCATCACTACGGTGCTAGTCATTGAGAGTTGCGTGCTGAATTTTCAGAAGAGAGGCACACACATCTTTCATTTAAATTCCTCGTGCGGTGTTCCTCTCATCCTTCTACCTGGGAGTTTTACTGTAACTTATGCAGAGGAACCAAACACTGTAACACCCTAGGCAGGTGATGAGACTGCCGATGGGCAACCTGAAAGGCAGAGAAGTTAAATGACTTTCTAAGGTTAAGCGACAAGCCTATAGCAGACTCTGCATGGTTCCTGGGACTTTGGATTCCTTTTTCCCCTGGTCTGCCTGCTAGACAGCGCTTCTCTGCTGCAGAAAAGGCTGCTGACACTTCTGGGTAGCATTTTCTATGTGAATGCAGCTAATAATACTTTAATGAGTTGGAGTTTGGTGGTGTATGTTAGGGAGCCAGTGCCTGAGCTCACCGTACTGTGGAGAGCAGTCGTTGGAGCGTTGCCAGGGTGGCTGGTGCTGAACAAATGCCTTCAGATTTTCTAGGATTAAAATGATGAACTGGGTGACTCTAACAGAATTCATAAATTCACATTAACAACTGGTTTCCTTAACAGTGGTCTGCTGCACTGCCTCATGCTATTAAAAGCCGTGCTTATAGGAGCGTAATGCAAATTACCTCTAACCTCGTGGGACACTTCTGGCTCTGCAGTGTCCTGGTGCGGGACTGGCGGCTGAGAGCAGAGCTCTGGAGAACATGGGGTAGGGGTCACCCTTAGAGCAGGGTTGGGTCCTTGATTCGGATACGAAGGAAAAGAGCCCCTCTGATGTGTTAACAACTTGCATTTGCATTAACTATTACATCTGAGAGAGCTTTAAAACTACATGAGCTTCATAGCTTCCACCTGGAAGGGGCTGTGTCCCGGCATCCTCCAAGCCCCTGCGCTGCCTGGACAGATGGCTGCGGCTCTGGACTGCCATCTATTGAATTGCTCCAGCTTTGTCTGTGCAGGAGTTGTCCTTTTTAGGGGAATGCAGTTCAGGCTTAACACCCTAAAACCAAGGCAGAGTTAGTTTGTTAGGAGAGCTGAGTGCTTCAGCACGACCTGAGGTTTGTCTCCACTAGATAGAAATAAATAAACTAGCTGGACGTTATCTGTGTTAGCTCCTACACCAGCCTCTCTGTCCAGATGGGAAAAGCATCTTTAGCAGTGAAAACAAACATAATACCATTTTCTGAAGCTTTGCAGCATCCTTAGGAGTTAGGAGTATGGTATCTGGGGATCGAGAGGATATTGTTTGCTGAGGAGGACTTGGTGAGATAATGGCACAAGCTGGTACGGTTTTGGTTGCTTTCTGTCTCCTGAGAAATGAACATTGATTTATAAGAAAGGAAGATAGAGGATTTCTTCTTCTCCACTGCCTGTCTTTTACCTCTTTTTTTTTTTTTTTTTTTTTTTTTTTTCTTTTCATCTCCCAGGCACCTCTGAGGAGGTGGCTCTTCCCGTCCAGCAGAACTTCATGATCCCCAAAAAGGAGATAAATATGGTTTCCGACATGGCCAAGTGGAAGCGCTCTCAGGTATGGCTCTGGGGTCAGGGAAAACTGGTTAAGTGCTTATTATGCTTCAGTGGCAGCCAGGTCTGGTCTGGGAACAGCCACGAGGTAAAGCAGGTTTGGGCAAGTAATGGGAAATGAATTGATTTGTGTTTTAAAGCAGAGGAGTCACTACCTGTTTGTAGGAAAATGACTTGGCAGTGAGGTGTGGAGTCTGGCAACCAAATGCTCTGACAAAGGAGTGAGCCAGGGAGAGCCCAGAGGTTGAGGGACACCAAAGATGCTTAAAAAAATTTTATTGCTCCCTCCCAACAAGCTAGACAAGCAGCTGGTAACTATTTTATCCTACCTAGCCTGTACATTATATCAAAACTGGATTTACCCAGCACTGTTTGAATTCATCTTGAACATGATCCTGCTGCCTGGCCCTCTAATCGCACTAGGCTGGGTTGGTTCCTGGGGCGTTCCTGCCTTGCTGTACTGGAAAGGGCTCTAGAGCCAAGGCCTTCAATTTCCTGGGTAATTTTTGTTTACAGTATGTGTGGAGCTGGTGGAACAGGCAGGTTCTCCCCTCTCTGCCTTTGAGGGCTTGGTGGGTTAGCCCAGACTCGTCCCACCTCTTAGGACTAAGTTCTTGTTTGATAGCTGATCTGTGATGTCTTCAGAGAAGCTTAAGTTGTAGCCAGGTCTTAAGCAAACCTCTGAGTGAAGCTTCCTTTGCTGAGTCTCCTGGGTTTAAGGACTTGCTCCTGGTCTGGATTTCTGTGCAGGAGAGGCCCAAGGAGGGAGTGTGCTAGTCTGGCATTTTCAAAGACTTAGAGCTGTGCTGGATGTGATGCTTCAAAAGCAGCAAATTTAAAGAGATGAGCAGTGAGGAGCCTGGGCTGTCTCCCACTGCTGTCATGCATGAGCATGGGAGAAGAGTAGAAGGAGGAAAAGGGAGATAAGGGTGCAGGCCTGGGAGAAGCAGTGCAGAGCAGGATGTCCAGGCATAGCTGAGGCTCTGCAGAGCTAAGGAGTTTGAATTTGACCTGATAGGAGGCAGGGAGCTGAGGGAAAGATTTTGGGGGCAGTGCGAGCTTTTTTTTAGGATTCTTCTCTCTGTAATTTTTACAGCGATGCAGAGTTCTTAGTGCAATTGCCATCTGCCTTTGAGGTCTGCCAAAAATAACAGTAGCCTCTCAGCAAGCCCTGTACCCTGGGTGCCTCCAGGAAGGCAGTGTTGTGTGTTGGGAAAGGTTTCCTTGATGTGTAGGAGTGCTTCCATGCCACGTTGCTTGTTCAAACAGATCATAGGGATTCACTAACACCCTGCTCTCTCGGGTGCGTTTGCAGGCATACGCAGATTACATGGGCTTCATCCTCACTCTGAATGAAGGTGTCAGGGGCAAGAAGCTGACCTGCGAATACAAAGTTTCAGAGGTAGGAGAAGAGTTTGCATCCTCTTGTTTCTCTTTTTCTGCCTTTTTTTTTTTTTTTTTTTTTTTTTTTTTGTGCCTCCCCTGTTGTTTTTTTTTTTTTCTTTTTTTTTTTTTTTTTTTTTTTTTTTTGGCTCTATAGTGAATATTTCCTAGGTGAGGAATGAATTGGCAGCTCATCTGGGAGCCAGGGAGAATAAATGCAGTTGGGTTATGCTTGGGAATGCAAATGCCAGCCCGTGTGTGCTCGCTGGATGGGAAATCAAGCAGGTTACAAGTGGACAGAAGCTGGTGGTGAAAAGGAGGATGCAGGTGTTCTGACTCTGTTTTCACAGTCTGGCTTCAACCAGTGATGTTTTGAAGATGTGCTATTCCCTCCTGGTTGCAGGCAAAGGCTGAGATGTCTGTACCGTTCCTGCTCTCCCGCTGCCTTTCTGTGGGACCTTGGGCGAGACACTTGTTTCCCTGTCCCTGGGCTTCCTTGTTGCTCAGACTGTGTTAACAGCACCAATCTCCTCGGCCTATGCTGTAGCTGAGCTGTGCAAGGTCTGGTTTGTCAGCGTGCGAGCTCAAGGTGTGTCATTGAGTGGACCAAGGGCTGTGCTGAGGGCTACGGGGGGCTGCGCTGGGTGCTAGGTTTAGCCTGTGGGGCAGGATGGCCCCTTCCAAGGTGTTAAGCAGAAAGGACCTATTTTTCCCCTTGCATTAATGTGACTCACCTGGCTCTGTCTGCTCCCGTGGACAGTTTTAATGCCTGTTCACCTTATCGGGGCACGATGAGATCATTTGGAGCCAGAGGGCAAGGGCAGGTGTCCTCACTGGTGTTACTGCCCGGCTTCAGCCATGCTCACTGCTGGCCTGAGGTCTCTCTGGGTGCTGCCGCAATCTGCAGAGCGTATGTTGGCCACCAGCTTCGCTTCTCTGGTGCGTGCTGATCTCCTCACTGCAATGCAGAACAAGGGAGGGAGATTCTTGGGCACATTTTTACTGTTCAAACTTATCACAGCTGTGCAAGAAAGCTGGGAAGAGTCTAAAAAGATCTAGGCAGAACGGGAAGCAGACTGGGCCCTGTGTGTTTATAGCTTCATTCTGGTGTGGGAAGGCAGCCTACAATGATCTTTAACCTAGTTGTTTTATGTTTGAAGCAGGCATGTTAAGTCCAGCCTTCCCTTCTAGGAGCCAGTGTGTGAAAGAGAACCTTGCTTGTAGCTCATGGAGGGGATCAGACATAATGAGTCCCTCCCTAACAGGCTTTGTGTCCACCTTCTGTGCCTTCAATTCAGTAGCAACTGCTGTCAAATGCTGCTCTTGCTGTCTGCTGTTTGCATTTCACCTTTGAGTTTTGTCTTTGTCGCGATCTCGCTCATTCCCAACCATTCACAGAGCAGTTCTAGGGAAACAAAGCATTAAAAATGAGCAAAACAAAGGGGGGAGGGGGTAAACCTCTTCCATCAACCCCTTTGAGCTGTCAGCTATCTAGGAAGAGCTGTATCAGGGCTGTGTCTCTGCAGCAGATCCCTCTTGGAGCAAATGTTTTCTATCCACGGTCCAAGTCCAGGTGACAAACAAGAGACAGGATCCTGACTGCTTGGGAAGTGGCAGGGAACGTGTCTCATTTCCCTCGCGCCGAGGAGAGCAGAAGCCTGTGACTTGAGGCACAGGTGGAGCATCCCCAGGGTTGCCTTGTTGATGAGGTTGCCTGTTCGCGCGGGTTCGTTTGTAGATCAAACTGCTTATCTGTGCTTTTAAAGGCTCAGCCCCTTGTGGCCTTTGCTTGCATCTCTGCTCTGCTTTCTTCTCTTTTGCTGTACCTGCTGCTGATGTGCTTTTGTCCCGTCCCATCTTCCTCCCTGATCAAATGCTGGGGACGCCTTCCTTTGGCAAATGACCTCCTGGAATCCTTTCTGCTGAATGTGTATCCTTTCCACAACTTACTGGTATTGCTTTGCCATGGAGGGGAAAAAAAAAAAAAGTATGGTCTGCTCTGCTTTGAAAGAGACAGCTTAATGGTTTCCAGAGTAGCATGTGTCAATACCAAACTGTCTGCTGGAGCGAGAGCTGGATCCTTTGGGGGCTGAGCCCCTTCTGAGACTTGCTGAGCTTGCTCTGCTCTTACTGAAAAAATTGCATGGAGCTGTCTGAGGTTTTGCTGGAGGCATCTGACAAGTAGCGATAGCTGAGCTGTTGTTTAGGACTGTGGTGTAGACGCTATGTCTGGCAAAAGGTTGTGTGACTGATAGGCTGTGACCTGCCTTCTCCTCCTGGAGGGAGTGCTTTTCACGTGGGGATCTGTGCGGCGACTGCTTGGGCTGCAGCCTGGAGTAGTTTTTCAAAGCTGTGACTTTGATCGGAGGAGCAGTGCAGCAAGGAGGAGGTTAATTTTGGCCATGCAAGGAGCAGACCTTCCCTTCAAACAGCCCACTGCACTGGGGGAAACTGCCCGGCCTTGTGGCTTGTTCTGGTTCCAGGAGGGAAGTGGGGGAAGCAGCAAATGCCCCCATTTTAGCAGCTCCCCCCTCCGACAGTGCCCAAGGAGCCCACAGGGGCAGGCTTGGTCGCCACGAGCAGCTCTGGCTGCCGTGATGCCTTCTCAGCACCTCCATCTGCCTGGCCTCTGCTCTTGAGAGATGCTGACAGGTCTCTGCTCTGTAGGAGGCTCTGTGGTTTGCCTTTGGGACTGGTGGCAGACTCAGGGTCAAGGGGATGCAAAATCAGCACAATGAGAAGAGCAAGGAGAGCGAGGGGGGAGGCTGCCCTTGCTTTGATCGCTGGAAAGGTAAAGCAAAAATAGAGCTTAAAAACCCAGCCAGGCAAAACAAGGCTGCAGTGGTGCTGATGGTTGTGTTCCCGTAAGCTCTGCTCTTCCCCTCCTTCTCCCCCGCTGGGGTCAGCCCTGGATGTACAAGTTTCCTCTGCTGGACAATGGGAAGCTGCTTCTTTTAGTAACCCCCTTTTCAAAGGGCCTTGAGCCCAAAATGAGCTGCATCTCTTTAATTATTTATTGGCATGGCTGAGCCGGCAGCTGGGTCCTGCTCTCCTGTGTTCAGTGGGGCTGGGCTTTTTAATCCCTTTAAAGCAAGCGAGTGGGGAAGGGGAGGTTTGACTCTCGCGCTCCCCAAGGCCTGCGGGCAGATCCGGGGAGGGGGAAGGAGCTGGTCCTTGCCAGCCATTTATCCAGGCAGCACTGAGTGCTTGCTGAGAGGGGTTTGAAATACGGTGGCTGCTCGTAATGAGCTGCTGGTGCCGGCGGATAAATCACCAGCACGATTTAATTATTTAATGCAACCTAGTGCTGGGGATGCTGCTGCTTAATTGGAGGGGAATGCAATAGCCAGGAAGGAGTAGAGCTGAGTCCAAACCTGGCCCAGTGCTGTGGGGAGATGCTGGGTTTCTGCAGTGTTTTGGGCAGCAGGGAGCTGAAACGGAGGGGGTCGTGCTGCCTCGGTCCACATGAGTCTGGGACACTGGCCTGTGGGTGGCTGCAGCTGGCAACCTCACCCAGAGCTTCTGGCCCACCATGTCCCTTGGCACTTGGGTCTTTTGTGTTCCTGGTGTGCTCAGGTCTTGTCCTCTAGCCTGGCTCATTGGCCAAGTGTCAAGGTCCTGTGGGATGGGTGAATCCCTCCCCTGCCTGATCCCACTGGCTGATCCCACCATGTCCTGGGCTCCTGAGGAGCCACTGTCTGTGGGAGGCTGCGTCTGTGCTGAGACCCTTCCTCCTGGGAGCAGA